GCAGGTGTTTCTTTTATTGTTAAGGAGCAGATATATCTGCCTTCTGGTCCTTCTGATCACGGGCAGTGTTTGCTTCTTCCCTCTTGACTTCCCCAAATGCTATTGCCCAAACCTTAAGAAACACAAGGATTCCCAAATGGGTCTAGACCAATATATTATGAATTTTATAAAACACTGGAAGGTAACACGTATTTTTGCAGAGATGAATGAGTTTTTGTTTTCTTCTCTGAGTTTGTTGGTGAGAAAAATCTTATGTAAACTATTTTTCTTACTGTTATTATAGTGTCCAAGAATGGTTTCATCTGTTAAGGATGCTGAAGGATCTTAGGTGATGGGTGTGACATTTCTTTCCACTGTCAGGTTGGGGCTTCGTTTCCTTCCCTGGTGAGCCTGGGGGCCTTGTTTTTCACTTGGTTAACTTGTAGGCTCTCTCACTATAAGGCAATTTCCAAATCTCAACCCCTCAGTGCCTTCAGGCTGTCACAGTTGTGTTCCACTAGGACCAGCCTTTCTGGAGGTCTCTCCTGATCTGTCCTGCTCATCCACTTCTCTCGATGCTAACCTGTCCCCACAGGGCTCACCTGCCTCCAGAAGGGAATTCTTTTTTTCTCACTGGTCCCATCAGGAACTTACTATTTGTCTAGATCAATGGCCCTTTCTCAGCTCTCATTTTCTCTAATACATTTGACTTTCCTGACATTGGGTGTGGAGTAACTTTGTGAGAACAAGAATTGTGCATTTTCAGCCACGTAGCCTCTCCGTAAATAGCTGTAAAGTGAATGCGCATGTCCTCCTTTGGAAGCTCTGCCCTCAGGGTGATTCTGCCCCTGTGACGCTGTTTGTAGCCTGTCTTGTCCTCTGGCTCTTCTTTCTGTCTCCTCCGTGCACGTGTTCCCCGAGGTGTCGTTCTAAGGCTTCCTCACTCCATCTCCTGAAGCGCTCGCCCTCTCTTATGCCATCGTCTCTCGCTGACGTGTCCCTGGCACTCTGTGCCCTTTCTTCTCCGCTCTGGACCGTTATCTTGATTCAGCAGTCAAACCCTGAATGTCTGCTGCCACCTCAGCCTGTCCCCAGGTGAACTCATCAACTTGCTCTTCCCTGTCTCTTCTTGTTCTCTTTTCTACTTAGTGTCATCTTCCCAGGTGCCCAGGGAGACCCTAGTCATTCTGTCGCCTAAGAAGATCTAATTTCATACTTAGATTATTTTGCTGTGTGCTTGTGTATTCTGGAATAGTGAGAGCACACGTCAAACCTTCTGCTTCCCTCCAACACTATCTCCTCCATGAACACCACCAGCCAGAATGCTTTCTCCTTTTGTGACCCCTCCTAGTACTTTCCCTCTATGGCCATTTTTCTTTGGCTATTACGTCCATTTTCCTTGTAATACCGAATGTTGTAATTTTTTGAACGTATCTCCTTAACTAGGTTGCCAACATCTTAAGGGAGCACTTGTGTCCGAATTGATTCTTAATCCAGGCAAAGGCACAACCCAATACCTTATGAGGTACAGAATCACACACAGGGACTGGGAAGAGAAGCCTGATCAGTGTCACTTGTTCTTAAACCCTCCTAGTTGGATGGTGGCATCTCCCTCAGTGTTCCCATGAAAGGCCATAGGTCGTCACTTGAGTTGTTTGGAACAATGTGCCCCTGAACTTTGTAAGGGCGAGCATACCCCTATACAGTGGGCCCCAGACTTTAAAATGATATTGACTAGCTAGAAAGACAAGTTGTTGTTCACAGAAAGTTATAAAATTGATCCATTTGATATTATTAATAGACCAATTATAATTAGAAATAACCTTTGTTGAATGCATATCAAGGGCTTTATATAGAACATCTCATTTATTCTTAACAGCCAGAGGGCTCATACCAAATGATTAGGCATTATCCTTTTATCCCTTTATACTTTTCAAAGCTCTTTAATATCTCAGTAGCTTTGATATGTAGAAGGCCAGTGATAGTGGACCACACTCTCTTTTGCCAAATTTGTAGATGCCTGTCGCCCTCTTTCTCCTAAAGTCTCAGTCACAACCACTGAACAAATGAGGAAACCACTTGACCCTTAGACATGGTGACTGGCATGGCCAGGAGCTGACATCTAGTTGCTGGGCAGAGCCACGATGGGGTCCCAGGTCACCTGGCAGCTAAAGGTTAACAGCACCTGCAGGTCCCCTGGTATGGTGGTCAGCACTCAGAATGTTCTCCCTGAACTTATGGAGATTCCCAAGATTCCTTCCATCATGGACCACCCTTAATGAGTGGGCAGTATTCCCACTGTATCATTCCGTGGGTGCTATGCCCAGGCATGGTCCATTGCCTTCCTTGGCATGTCCCTTCGTCTCCTGCCCACCCGCCCAGCACTTACGGGGAGTAAATGAAAACCAAGAAGGCATGGCCTGCCCAACCTTCTTGCTAGAATTGTGGCTCCAGGAAATTTACTTAACAGACAGGAAAACCCACCAACATTCAGTCAGTAGTTGGTTTCCAGTAGCTGAGAATTCTTTAGGCCACTCTAGTCCATTTACTTGGTTATCCTTCTTACTCCCAGTGAGTGAAGAAGCAGAGGGTCCCATATCCTGGCCTCTCCACCAGGCCCCTCTCCGGCTCTGGGATGATGACAAAGATGATAGCAGTGCCCGCGAACACGTAAATGACAGAATCACTGTCTGTGTGTGCCAAGCATGTGCGAAGACTGTCCTATGCATTTTGAGCTCAGTGGTTCTCGAAGTGTGATTCTCCACATCAGAGCACGGGCGCCCCAGAGTCTGGTTACAAGAACAAATACTCGGGCCTGACCCAAGACCTTCTGAAAATGAAACTCTGAGTGACGGCCCCGGTAGTCAGTTCTAACACCTCCAGTGTTACAACACTGCGCCCTGCAGTTTGAGAACCATAGTTCTAGTTTACAGGACTATTTTTACCATCTTGGGCGCAGCTTCCTCAGGTTCCCTCGGCTGCTCTGAAATCTCTGTTCAAGTACCCTATGTGGAGGGAATGAGGGAAGATAATTACTAATACCAGCTATTCAAGGTTGAGTGTTTCCACTCTGCCAGGGATAATGCTAGGCATTCTGTGTACATTGACCGTTTAATCCTCACCACAACCCTATGAGGTCCACACTATTCTTATCATCCCCCTGCTGTGGATGCAGAAATCGAGGCACACGTTCATTGGCTAACCTGCTCCGGGTCTCTCAGGTAATCAGTGGAAGCACTGGGATCTGAATTCAGGGTAGTCTGACTCGGGTCTGAACACCCAGCCACACGCTGTACCTCCTGAGAGGTTTCTGCCCCCTCCCCGACCAGGTTCTGGTTTTTTCTCCTTTCCAAACTAATGCCCCCCTGTATTAGTTTGCTAGGGCTGCCATAATAACCTCAGACTGGGTGGCTTAAACAATAGAGCTTTATTTCTCACCTTTCTAGGGGCTGAAAATCCAAGATCAAGGCGTCAGCAGTTTTGGTTTCTCCTGGGGCCTCTCTCCTTGGTTTGCAGATGGCCGCCTTCTTGCTGTGTCCTCGTGTGGTCTTTCCTCTGTGTGCCTGCCCCTGGTGGCTGTGTGTGTCCAAATCCCCTCTTCTTGTAAGGACACCAGTCAGACTGGATGAGGGCCGCCCTAACAGCCTCGCTTAACTCAATCCCCTCTTTACAGGCCCTCTCTCCAAATATGGTCACATTCGGAGGGTCTGGGGGTTAGGGCTTCAACAGATGAATTTTGGGGGCACACAGTGTTCAGCCCATGACACTCTCGTTGTCCTTATCCATGCCTTTGGCTGACAGGAACTGTGTCATGTCTGTCTACCCTTGGAGACTCTCTCACCCTCATCCTCTGTGTTTTTTCCTGGGTCACATGGCTGCAGCCTTCCCAAGGACGGCAGCCATGACGTAGAGAGCTCAGCCTCCACATGTGCTGCAAATGTATAGCTTTAATTTGCTAAAAGTTGCCGTGTACAACTAGGAAGTGAGGGGTCTGTACAACATCTATAAATACAGCCTTTTTGGTTTTCTCTAGAGTGAAGTCAGAGAAAGTATTAAAGTATTGTTTGCGGACTTGTGCCTGCCTCACCTGGGCTGCTCCTGGACTCCATGAGTGACCTATAGCATGAGACTCTCCAAGGGCGGACCCTTGGAGTGGGCGTATCCAAGAATCGCCTCTCCGTCAGCCACTCCCCCTCCTACATCTGGTGATTCTTATATACAGAAAGGTGTCGACTTTTATGTCTGTGGAGTTAGACACAGCTGGCCTGTGTTTCAGCTCTCCCGTTACTAGGTGTGTGACCTTGGGATGGGTTAGCCTCCCTAAGACTGCTTTTTAATTTGCAAAGTGGAATTAATCTAGTTAATTAATGGAATTTATCTGGCAACTTCCTAGGGTTGCCATAAGGATTAAATTACAGCATATTAATAAAGTACTTTATACCACCTGCTTGTTGCAGAAGGGAGAGTGTTCGGTCTCTGGTACCATTACTTCGGCCACCATGATAGCATTTCTGCTACTGGACAAAGATTTCTTTTGCATCCTAAAACCAAAGCACAAGCCCTATTAGCATTGCATCTGGTGCGTGGCTATGGGTCTGGAGCACCCAGGACACATACTGTAAATACCAGATATGCGCAGATGGAAAAGCCCATATAGAAGTTGATAAACAGGACCCAGGAGACAGTGGGTGGACAGGAATGCTAGCCAAGGAAGGAGGAAGGGGCACAAAGAAAGGAAATCCCAAAGGTATCTGCCAGCCTGCAGCAGCCATAAAAGCCAGACCTAGATTCTCTCCGGCTGCATGCCTTGGACACAGGAAGAACATTGCTATCCTCAGTTGGTATGTCAGGGGTCTCTTCTGACTCTCACACCGACTGAGTTGTCTTTTCTACTAAAATTAGTAACATGCAAACTTTTCTGCAATCTCTGAATTTCCTGAAGTTCTCTAGGCATCCCAATGGGTTGGACACACATTTGAAATGACGTGTTTATGGACCTCCTTGTGTCTTGTCATTTGCAGAGGAGCTGAAGGCCCCCTTGGAAGAGTATGTCCACAAACGCTACCCCGGGCTGGTGAAGGTTGTCCGCAATCAAAAAAGAGAGGGCCTGATCCGAGCTCGCATCGAGGGCTGGAAGGCAGCCACCGGCCAGGTCACTGGCTTCTTTGATGCCCACGTGGAATTCACTGCTGGCTGGTAGGTCACAAGCTGAACCCTAAGAGCACTGAGGACCTGCAGTGTGGTCAGAAGGGGCTAGAATCTGGGAGGTGGGGAACTTTACATGTTTCCCCAGGAGCCACTGGAAGAATGGAGAATGGGTGGTTGAAGAAGAAAGTGAGACCATAGTCTGGGATAAAACTGGAAAGCATGAAGAAATTGTCTGCTGTCTACTCAGTCTGTCATCATTGTTGTCATAGTCATCATCATCACTGTTAAAATTCTCGGTTAAAATGATGTATTAGTTGGACAGAACTCAAGATAATCCTTGCTAAGTGGACAAGACAGTCATATTTCCATACTTCTCTTTTCCTACTTTGCTTGTTCCCTTTTCTGGGGAGGATGGTTAACCATTATTGTGAGAAAAGAGATCCATTTATAATTCCATCTACTCAGCCAAAGCTTCCCAGAACGTATAGGATTATCCTTAGCATCATTTGGAGGAAGGGAAGGGTTTATCTCTGCAAGTGTGGCCTGCAGTGTTTCTCCAGGTGAAAAAAACAATATGAGAGAAAGTGGTTAGCATTCAGGGAGTAGATATTGGATGCAAGAAGAGTGAAAAATACCCAAATCATTTAGTGAACATTAAAATTGGATTAGGGCTTTACAGTTTAAAAGCATGGGCACATCATCATTGCTAACTAACCAATGAGAAATCAAGTCAGAGGTTAAACAACCTGTGCTGGGGTTGCTTAGTAAGAAGCAGAGTCTTTAACTTCACAGATATGTTATTTACACTCAATGATACCATCTTGAATAAGTGCTGTTCAGGGTACCAGATTTGAAGCGCCAATATCCCATCACTAATTAACATTAGATAACATTAAAATGTCTATTCTTCATTTGCAACAAACTTTAGAATCTATTTAATGGCTAGATAGAAAGAAAATAATTATTCACATGACCACACAAAGATTTGGAACCTGGGGTCACTGTTAACACTGGCACTTTGAAGAGCATACAGGTATCTGTTGTCATCTCAGACATCAGTTTTCTTTCCTGGTTTTTTTTTTTGCCACCATTGGACCCTGATGACACACAGCTTCATGTTTTCAGTCCTGAGCTCCCCTGAGCTTCAGAGTTGTTTCTGTCTTGTAAGAAACATTCTCAAAGTGTGGTCCCTCAGACCAGCAGCACCAGCATCATCTGGGAACTTATTAGAAATGCAGGTTCTTGGGTTCCAGCCAGAACTATGAAATCAGAAGCTCTGGGGGTGCAGAGCTCTCTGTTTTAACCAGCCCTTCAGGTGAGTCTGATGCTCGCTTAAGTTTGAAAGCCATTGACCTAGAATCCTTCTGAACAGATGCACTTGAATGTTCCATTGGAACTTCACCCTTGGCTTATCTCGCCTTTTCCTCCACACCATTTCCTCCTCATTTCTTTCTTGTCAAAACTGTTGGCACCACTCATGTCCCTTTCACTCGATTCTTTCCTCCTCCTCATGTCACTCATCCAGTCAACCTCCAGCTCTAGCCACTTTTACCTTCTGTTTCTCACATCTGCCTTGACCCCCACTCTCCCAGCTCAGACCTTCGTTATCTTTCACCTAAACTAATGTAGTGAATTATCCTTTTGACAAATATTTGCTGGATGCTTACCACGTCCCAAACACTCTCCTAGGCTGTGGTTTGGATGACCAACTGTTCGGGTTTTCCCAGTGCTGAGGGAGTTCCTCAAATGTAGGACTTTCAGCGGTAAAACCAGAACAGTCTTGGGAAAACTTGGACAGTTAGTTACTTGACAGGGGTTCAAAATCTGGCAAGATTTGGTGTCCATCCTCCAGTAACCTCTAGTCTAATTCTAACTGATCTCTGTGATCCAGTCTTAGCCCTTCAGACATTTTCAACGTTTCTACCAGAGTGGCATACATCCTCTCTGGATTAAAACCCTTTTGCAATTACTGATTACGGGGTAGACCATGTGTCTCAACTTTCACTAGGTTGTACTGCTGATAATCTCCAACCTGAGTGGCTTCCACCCACAGATTTCCATCTTGTCCATGTGGCAGCTCTGTGGCGAGTTGTCTGTCTGTGGCTCTGCTCCATAAGTCCTCTGTGTCCTGAGACCAAGGAGTACTCCTATCTAGGTCATACCATTTTTGTGGCTCAGAGAAAAGAATAATAGCTGCATCTTTCAATGGCTATTAAAGTTTCTACTCAGATGTGACATTGCCACTTCTGCTCACATCCCATTGGCCAAAGCAACTCGCATGTCAAAGCTAAACATTCACTGAGGTTGAGGGAGAGAGTGTACCCCTCTGCGGGGACGCACTGCAGGCCGCTAGGTAATAGGTAGATATCCCGAAGGAGGGGAGCAACTTACTGGGAACATTTATGCATTCTATCACAGACTTAGAGATCAAACTCCATGCCTGAGAAGCATTATTTGAACAAGGTCTTCTGCCCCCACGCTCATGACTTTCACCACACAGTGCTGGACTGAGCTGAATGCTTCTATATATGCACCATCAGGCACCAGACCAGCTGAGTGAAGTATGGCCCATTCAGGGAGGCAGTGGAGCTCAGAGACTGGGCCCAAGGCCAGGCCGTCTAGGTTAGAAACCTGGCTCTGCCACCAGCTGGCTGTGTAGCTTGGGGCAAGTGACTTAACTTCCCTGGGCCTTAGTTTCCTCATTTGTAAAATGGTGATCATAGTATCTACTCATAATATAATAAGTGCTTGATAAATACCAGCTGTCATTTGCTCATTAGGAAAAATAACGTGTGTTCAAAGATTAGCAAAGGTAACGTGTAGTCAGAGTGACTTGAATAAGGTGGGGAAGATGGTCTGAGAGTTGAGAGGAAGGAGAGAGCCTTCCTACTGGTGGAAATTCGGGAAGGCTTGTTGGAAGAAGTGGCACTTGATCTAATAAGAGTCTGTAGGTGGCTAGACTTTCTGCCAGTGGCAAAAGGTCATTCCTGGAGAAGAGCATGAGTGAAGATTGTAGGGGCGAAGCTCTGAAGCATGTCTAGAAACTGTGGAAAGTCAGTCCCATTTGGCTTCAGTCTATATGGTGTGTGCAGAAGTATTGGAGGCAGTAAATGGCCCAGGGTATATTTTGTTGCTCGTTTTAAATAGACATATGGGATGAGCCAACAGGTAATTCAATAGCTGCAAGTGAAAAGAGATGGGATGTGGGCTGAGCGTTCTCGTTATTCTTGCAAATACTGCAGCGGAATGGGATTTTCACTTGACTCTTTTCCAAAGCCTGTGCTCTGTTCTAAGTGGGGACATTAATGCCCTGGCTTATGAGAGCCATGTTTTCCTTCCTGAATATGGGAAATGATCCCTTCCTAGGTCAGCCTTGGAGACACACACTGGCAGGGGAGTCTGACCATCTGCTGTCTCCTAAAGCTGGCAGGGCTATACCTTGAACCCTGAGCCAGGCCCCTGCCTGTCGCCCACTGCAGCCCTGAGGGGCAAGCTGGCTGGGAGGCAGGATTCTGCCTGTCTTAGCAGTTTATTAGCTCCCGCCTGCCATTTCTAACCCATTCAATTAAATCCCTTTTAAGAAATCAATTAAATAATCAATTAAAACAACTGAAATAGTCGCACACACAAAGAGGCTGGTGAAATGCTTATTAAAACCAGGCCATCAAGGGCAGAAGTGACCTATTTTGGGAAAGGGAATTCAGCTGCAGCAGTAAAAACAAGAGGCATCGGCCAATGCCCTGAGGGGAACTGAAAATACTGTACAAAACTGTAGTGCCACGCACATCTGCAGACGTCAGGATGGCCTTGCTTGGCTTACCCTGTCGGTGGAAGCGAGAGGCCTGGCCCTTTCTAGGGGAGAGGACCTCACGTTCTGATTTCTCACTCCAGGCCTCTTGTGTGAGGCATCAGTGCCGTGGAGATCCTGCATGGGCCCCGGCGTGGGCTGCATTGCACGGAGCTTCACAGCTGTGCTTGAAACTGAATGAGCCCACCGGGGCTGGTCGCTCAGCAGCCTCAGTTTCCATCTGAGTTCCAGCCTGCCCAAAGCGCACTCTTTAGCTATGTTGCTGCTGTTCATTCTCTGGAGTCTTGGGGTCTGTGCAGCTGAGGTGTGGGCATGCCTAGGGGAGAGATTTTATTTCTACTTCTCTCTGTTTCAGGGCCGAGCCGGTTCTATCCCGAATCCAGGAGAACCGGAAGCGCGTGATCCTCCCGTCCATTGACAACATCAAGCAGGACACCTTTGAGGTGCAGCGGTATGAGAACTCCGCCCACGGGTACAGCTGGGAGCTGTGGTGCATGTACATCAGCCCCCCAAAAGACTGGTGGGACGCCGGAGACCCTTCCCTCCCCATCAGGTCTGTGGCAGGCAAGCTCTGGCAGCCGTTGAATCCCCACATCCCAGGGGACAGAGGAGTCCCGGGGGAGGGAGGCTAGGAGACACTGCCTGGGGATGGACCAGCAGTGTGCAAACAGCTGCTTTAGGAATTTGGGATGTCTCACCATCTTGGTTTTCTTCCTGAGGAAGGACACTGCATTTTGAGCCTTTAGGTAAAGTTTTCAGGTGCAGCTTATTAAACAGCAACATTGAAAGATCAAAATTGGTAGGAATGCTCACACCTTTTTATTCTCCCTCAGATCTGAGGCACTGTGTTCAGGAACTTTTTAGTATGAAGTTTGGAAGGTGTTCATTCCTGGGGCTCTTTCATGCTTGCAGCTTTTATTATCATAGTGCTTCTCGCCCTTTTTCGCAATATAGGAACACACAGAACAGGACAATCTTTGTGTGGCATGTGGGGTAATTGAGGGCCTCTGGGCAGCTCCCTGTGGCTCTTGCTCCAGGTCCCACCCAGCTGCCCTGGAGACAAGGAGATCAATACTTCATGGCATTCCAGGTGGGAAGCTCACGTATAAAGGATGCTGAGTGAAGTGGTGGATTTTGATGCCCTATTTGTTTCCTATGGCCCCTGTAACAAATTCCTACAAACATGATGGCTTAAAGCAACACACGTTTATTCTCTTCCATCACAAAGGTCAGAAGTCTGAAGTGAGGTTTACAGAGCTAAACTCAGAGCCACAGGGAGGGGTCCTTCTGGAGGCTTGAGGGGAGAATCCATGTCCTTGACTTTTCCAGCTTCTAGAGGCTGCTTTCGTTCCTTGGCTCATGGCAGCATCACGTCCCTCTTCCTCCCAGGTGCTTCCTTTATCACATGGCCTCCTTCTTCCTTCCACTTTCTTGCCTCCCTCGTATAAGGACCCTTGTGATGACATTTGGGGTCCCCATGAATAATCCAAGATAATCCCCTCATCTCAGAATCCTTAACTTAATCATATCTGCGAAGTCTTTTTTTCCCATATAAGGTAACATTCAGAGGTTCCACAGATTACGACGTGGATTGTTTTTTGGGTGGGGGGAGGACATTATTCAGCCCATCTCAGATGCTCTGATTTTCAACCAAGATGATACCTGAGTATAGTTCAGTACTTTCTGTGAGTTCTGCTTGAGGGCCAAACTGACTCTTAAAATCTTCATGGCTCTGTCTTGAGTTAGAAGAGGTGGTGGAAGCCTTCTTCCCTTGGCCTGGTTTTAGGGCTGTGTTTGTTGATATAAAGAGGGATAGCAAGAAGGAATCGTGGAGTAGGAGTGAGGACTTTTTCCTGGTAGCCATGAGGTTCTTTCTCAGTTTACACATGTTTGATAAATAAGAGTAAAATTTTAAGACATACAGATCCCGCTGCCCCATGTTCCCTTGTTTTCCTGCTCAAATCGAAAGCTTCAGAATTGCATTAGAATAGAGCTGCCCATGGGCAAATATGTGCCACAGGGAAGGTAATCTTTTGAGTCAGTAACTTAGTTAGCTGGAGATGTCTCAGGAGGCGGCTCTGTTCCCATTCCATCCTCGACATTCAGTGTCTTCTGGCAATGCTGCAGGGCCATACTCTTGGCTCTCTGCAAATAATAACATAAACCCATCACTAATGTGCCTGAGAATAAAAGCGTCATCCTTCGGGATATTTTGAATTTAATGAGTGAGAAAGCATCTCACACCCATTAGGATGGCAACCATCAGAAACAATGGAATATAACAAGTGTTGGCAAGGATGTGAAGAAATTGGAAGCCTTGAGCATTGTTGGTGGGAATGTAAAATGGTGTAGGTGCTGTGGAAAATGGTATGACAGTTCCTCAAAAAATTAGAAATGATATTACCATATGATTCAGCAATTCTACTTCCAATTCTACCCAAAAGAGTTGAAAACAGGGTCTCAAAGAGATGTTTGTACACTCATGTTCATAGAATCATGATTCACAATAGCCAAAAAGTGCAAGTAACCCACATGTCCATCAGCAGATGAATAGATAAACAAAATGTGGTACATCCATACAATGAAATATTATTCAGCCTTAAAAAGGAAGGAAATTCTGACACCTGCTCCAACATGGATGAACCTTGGGGACGTTATGCTAAGTAAAATAAACCAGTCACCAAAAGACAAAGACTATCTGATTCCACTCATAAGAGGTACCTAGAATAGCCAAATTCATGGAAACAGGGAGTAGAATGATGGGTACCAGGGGTTGGGGAGAAGAGAAGAATGGACAGTGGTTATTTAATGGGTATAGAGTTTCAGTTTTGCAAGATGAAAAGAGTTCTGGAGATTGGTTGCATAGTGATGTGAATGTTCTTAACACTGCTGAACTGTGCACATAAAAATAGTAAAGATAGTAAATTTTATGTTATGTGTATTTTACTACGATTAAAAAAATAATAATAGGGAGTACTTAAAGACCCCTTGGCCTTCAGAGCTTGAAAGGATAAAGTTCAAACAATGGACTGACCAACAGTAAGTTTTACGTTTTTGGCCAAACACTGCTTCCTCCCAACCCACAGGGGAGCTGATCTCTGGCTGTGACAGATAAGGGAGTGAGGGTATGACAGTGGTGTTAACAACAGAGGGAAAGAAGTGAATACACTGCAGTGCTTTGGTATGCCCAGAAAACACAGCTATCCCTGCATTTGTAAGGCACTCAGTGAAAATTTAGCTAGTACTTTATGAGTTACAGTAACATTAACAACTGATTAATATGCACTTTAAAAAGACTCGGGAAAATAGAGTCGTGATCATGAGTTATTAATATTACTTGCATCTCTGATGTACAAAATAGAATCAAATACTAATGGTCTCTTTTTAATGTATCATAACTTATGAAATGCTTAATTGTTAATAGTTACAGAGATATTTAATTGTAGGAAGGAATTTTTATGGCCCTTTTGATGTTATTAAGAAGATACAGTTTGGTTTCTTAAACATTAGGACATGGTGATTTCCCTCTTCCCTGTGGTTCCAATATTTTAGGGTAATGATTTTATTCGGGGAAAGGACAGGATGAGAACTTTTTCACGATCAAACTGACATTAGATTTAAGGATTCTTTGGATATTGAGTCTTAATGGTAGACAACATAATCTGGGAGATTTTGCATTAAGGGAATTTATATCCTTTCTGTTTTAATTCCTTTCCCCTTTCTTCCTACGTGTTTTTTTCTCCTGCCTGGTAAACAGCTGTTTCCCAAGGTTTTCTGTTTTCCTCTGCCGTTCTTTGTCTACACCAGAGTTTTAGGCATAGAGAGTGGGCAGGTGCCATTAAAGAGAGCAGAGCCACGGGTAAGGGATGGGGACTGAAGCACACATGCGGCATGCAAGGAGGCAGCTGCTTAGTGGCGGTGCTGGGCTGGGGTCAGGGTGCGGGGCGCACAAGGCTGGCATTGTCACGTGCTCAGACTTTTAAGAAAAGACACAAATCCAGATAATTTTGTGAAATCTCCTGACTTCTAATTGTCAGCAATAAATCCCTCTTCTTCAAAATTACGAGGGCCAAACAACATTTCTAGACTGCATTTGACCACCTGGGTCCCCAGAATTTGGTCTTTGCTCTGTCCTTGGAGACGTCTGTAATTCCCAGGGCAGCCTTAGTCCATGCTTCTCACACTGGGAGCTGTGGGCACGTGCAATATGTGGCTTTACTGTGGGGCTGAGGGATTTGGGGAAAGTGTCACTCAAAGCCACAGGAGAAGCATGACCGGACATCCTGGCGCTTGAGTTCAGCCATGAGAGAGCCCCTCCCACCTCTCTGTGTCACAGCCCTCTGCGGCTCAGATTCGTCAGTGAAAGGCTCTGAGAAGCACTGACCCAGCTCTCACCTCTGCGCAGAGAAGGCTCTCAAATCTATGTCTTAAGCCCTGATTTTTCTCTGAAGTGTCATCATCTCCAGTGTCGCATCAACAACCATTCATTAGACCAGTGGAGTTTAAACTTTTTTGAGTCAAAGACCTCTTTGATAATCTCACGAAAGCTGTAGATCGTATCACCCCGAACATGAATAAGCAGACAGAACTTTGCATATAATTTCATGAAGTTTATGGGTGCCTTGAAGCCAACCTCCTAGTGGTCCACAGGACTTCTATTAAGAAACACTGCTAGATAGTTCTGCTTGGCTTTCCCAGCTGGAAAGCCTTTCTTTACCATTCTTTATAGCCCACTAGTCTGTATGCTTTATGAAGCCAGGACTGTGGCTATTTCAGTTATATCTTGAGGACCTAATGAATACCTGGCACTTGGTAGGTATGCCGAAAATATTTATTGAATGAATGAGTGGAATCTGAGGCTCAGAAGAGAGGTCAGCGCTAGTGATTATAAAGAGGATGAGATTGCCCAGAGGTACACTAGAGAAGGAGAACGGAAGCCCCAACATTTCTGGGATGAAGGGAGCCTTCATAAAGGAGACTGACAAGTCATGAATGGTCAGGGAGGCATGAGGACAACCAGGGCAATGGAGTTGCAGAGCTTCAAGAATAGGAAGGCCAAAAGCACCCTTTGGTTTAAGGGATCAGCTCATCATAATCTTAGTGAAACCGTTTTCGGGGAGTATTTGGGTCTGAAGCTGGATGGCAGTTGGAGGAGGAATGAATGGGACACAAAGAAATGGAGAAAGTGGGTGCAGGTTATGCTTCTGAGATGTGTGGGGGAAACTCAAAGAGGGAGAGGGACAGAAGCTGTTCAGGAGGCTACAGGATCAAGTGACATCTGTTTTTTCGAACAGGAGAAATTGAGCATGTACCTCTAGCACACTGAACAGATAGAACTCACGGTTTATGTTTGTAAAACCCAAGTTGTTTCGGTTTCCTCATGTGACATTTAACTTGCTCAGAGCAGTGAGTCCTTCACTTGCCCCTGGATGAAGACTCCAGCCCACCCCATGATTTTTCTTGTCACTTTTGGGTAATGAAAGTCCTAGGGTCATTTGAAGTCACTAACCAGCCTCAATCCGTTGTTAAAATCGCCCAGTCTCATGTAATCAT